GTAAATCACACGCATCATGACCCAACAATTCGATTATTTTTGATACTCAAGAATACACCACACAACCAAATTTGGTCTGAAATGCCGCTCAGCAAGGAAGAAGGCATTGCTCAAAAGGGAGCATGGAAAGCTTGATGTGTATCGCTATAATAATCAAAGTTACAAAATTGGAAAGTTTCATACTCACAAACAACATCCAAACTATAGAGTACAGTGGTGGCAGTAGGCCTGGGCTATAAACTGGATTTTTACCATTACTGTCATTCACTACGATAACCGGCGGTAAAAGAAATAAACATCATTTTGCTGTTTAGCCTGTGTGTGCTGGTGGCTGCTATTTCCTTCCCTGGCAGTATGTGTCTAATCATGTGACTCCACCGATCTAATCAGAAGTGTAAACAAAGAGAATGACTGATGAGTCCAGTGAAGAAACGTCTAACACATGTAAATTAAATTACTTAAGTTAATCTTGTGGTGCCATGTGAGAGCAGAGATGGAGCAAAACGTGCAGAGAAGAAGTCAAGAGCGAGTTGTCAGAGTTGAGCATGCAGCAGACCAGTTTTGAGTGAGGGTGTGTGAGTTTAAAGAGTGCACACTCACTGCTCACTTGTTCAGTGGCACCAAAATTACACCATAGATGCTGAGCAAAAGAACACAAAATGCAAGGTTTGTCTGAAAACTGTCGGGGCTACTCAAAGTAACACATCCAACCTCCACCACCAACAGCACAACCACTCTGTTGAGTTCAAAGATGTGAAAAGGGCTCCATTACCTTTGCGCAAAAATGATTGCAAGAGAGGTACCATTTTTCTCCTGTTCAATGAGACATTGTTGAAAGTTTAAACCTGAATGGGCACAAGGCTTTTATATTCAGTTGAAAGTAATATGTATTTACTCAAGAAATAAATCATAAATAGATCAGTTACATTTCCTCCACATGCCTTTATTTCTGATAAGAGGAGCAGCACTATTTATCATGCATTTATCGTTATTGAGGTAAAACTGCCCAATTTATGGTGATATTGATTTGATGACATATCACCCAGCCCTAGGTGGCAGCCTCATATGCATTTTTGTTTTTTTGTTATTTATTTATTCATTTGCTATCAGAGAGTTGTTGCACCTAACAAGGTAAGGGAAAAATATTATGTGAACTATATAGGGCAAGACAGCTTTATAACAAATTTGCGAAAAATGCTAAGATGCACTGTATGTAAACTTTAAAACAATGAGAAAACAATCTTTAAAAACAAGGATGTAATGTGTCTTTTTCACAATATATAAGCATCTGTTTTTAACTGTATAGGTGGCCGTTTTTCAGACCAATATGCCTTTTCGTAGTAGCTTTTTGCAGTCTGAGATGTTTGCCAAATACAAAGCTTAACTCAAAACTGGCATGAGCACAAAAAGACATGAGCTTATTGTAGTACATTGAATTTCATGAACACAGATTGAAAGAACACTAAAGCTTTTGTATGAGCTCCATGGCTACAAGTACCCTAGCCCGTTAGAAAAGATTTTGCTCTTTGCAAACAACAATTATGAAAATTTTACATCTCACACTGAGCTGACAGTGGTTTTACAGAGTCAGAAATGTCTGTCAAACTGCTTGAATACCTACATGCCAATTATGTGAGACCCGGAGTTGTGAGAAAGAAATACTCCATTTTACAATCATTATTTGGAATTATGGGGGACAAATTCATAATACAAAATGGCTTAAAAGGCAACAATAAGGCAAGGCAAGAATTAGCATTGAGAGTCAACCTAAAAGTGGGAGACATCAACATATAGACAGAAGTTTGAAACCCTCGCATGTACAAACAGTACAAAAAAGCATATTCCTATCTTTGCTCTGAAAGCTTTTCATGCCAGAAAGAAAGAACAGCTGGGTAACAGCTTATTGCATCTCAAAACACTCGGAGAGAAAATAGCTGTCCCATCATGCCCAGCAAGTGGCCTCTTTAGTACAAACACACACTTAAAGCTCTATTTTTACAGAGGCACATCGGTGCACATCACTACACATTCAATAGGCAGAAAAATATCTCCTTCAACATTTTGGAAAAAAAAAAAGATTAAATAGGTGGAGGAAATATCAAGCAATCCCAGATTACAAAGAGAACTTAAGAGTTCACTGAACCTTGGTTTCAAACGACAAGCAAAAAATACAGGACAGCTGAGAAAAAAAAATGTCTGATAATAACTGTGGCAGAGTAAAACTTCAGCTATACAGCTCCTCCATCAATAAGGCATCACCTCTTTTACTTTTATCTAGCATTTATCAAAGTTCACTTAATCTCAACAGCTACTGGTGTAAAGGGCTGCTTGCTATGACAGGCAGGAGTCTAATGTCTACAAGTCCTTGGAAAGAGCTTCGTTTACTTCAGATTCAGATGTGACGTATAAAAGGAAAAAAACGGAAGCCTTCTTTTTCTATTTTCTATCATAATGTGCAAAGAACTATGAAGAAAACACGCAGCACCGAGGTGGGAGGAAAGGGTTGCAGGCATTCAGTTGAAATGAATGCCTTCCTTCATGAATAAAAACACAAGTAGCCATTTGGGAGCTTCCCAAAGGAGAGCTCAGAGGATGATTGGCTGCTTAATGACAGAATATTTGACATCAGGGACTTGTAGCTCAAAGCAGGTTTAATGCTTATTGGGGAGAGACCTTAGGTTGTGTAGATGCTTTGTTTGTAGTCATGTAAAGGAAAGGTTAGCCTTTACAAAATATGAAAACAAACATTAATACACCAATAATAAAGGTAATTTCATTTTAAGTTACAAAGAGATGAGAAAGAATTGATATCTGCAGAACCTTACAGAAAAGCAAATTAATCTCAAATTAAATAATGATAAGGATAGAAACATATTTTAATACTTTGAAAAGCTAATCTAGACCACAAAAGTCCTACTTTTAATTTGCACAAATTAAGACTAAATAAGTAGGCTTTGTTTATAAAGCACCTTTCACAGACCAAAGCCACAAAGTGCTTCACAACACAGTTTAAAACCTCAGAGAATACCCACTATAAAAGGCCAAGACAATAGGAAATCATTGCAGCCTAAACGGTAGTTAATTTAAATCCTGTACAAATAAATGGGTCTTAAGTAAGCTCTTGAAGGGGACAACAGAGTCAATAGAGAACAATGCAAGCGGAAGATCATTCCAAAGCGTGGGAGCAACAGCCTGAAAGGAATAAAAACCAGTTCGTGGAACCTTCAACGATTCTGATCCACAGACCTCAGAGCCCGCGCTGGGGTGTAAGGCTGAATCAGATCACCGATGTAAAAAGGAGCCTGACCATGAAAGGCTCTGAAAGACGAAACTAGAACTTTGAATATGATCCTATAAGACACTGGCAGCCAATTAAGTTCTTTTAGAATCGGGAATATTTGAGTCCTCCTGTTTGTATGAGCATATGAACCTAAAATATGACTGATTGGCTCCGATCAATATTCAGCAGATAATATTCTGAGGAATATATTTTTTTTAGTGTTCATTCAATACTTCAAAGCTAAGAACTATCATAGAGAACATACAACCACTACATATGAATAGACCATACTTCTAGCACCTTTTTGAATTGTACTAAAGTCATATAATGTATGTGATGCATTTACAGATTAAAAAAATGTTTAATCACTATTGTTTAGTTTAATGTAACAATTAAAGATATTTTTCTCTATCTGTAGGATAGACTTCAGCTTAAAAGAATATTTAGCATCTTCTGTCAACTATCAACCTGTTTTTTTTTTACCAGCAAATACTATATGAACTGTTTTGCTAATCTGATATTACCATTTTAGACATTGCAGGCAAAGAGTGACCAAGTCACTTCAACTGGAAGCAGGATAACAATTGGAAAACGTACCCTTCACTGTGCTGGAGAATGGACACCATCAGCTCCACAGCCAGGGCTCCAGCAATCATGGCAAGGCCTGGTCTGCTGACAGTGCACTGCTGATCCAAGGTCCGATCCCTCGTGGACTATTCACGTAAAAGGATAAAAACACAAACTCATATTTTAAATAAAGCCAGCTACGATAGGTAAAGCGGATTGTATTGCATAAATCAAAATGGCTTTCAGCTCAGAAAAATCTAGTTTACATGATTCTCATGTCTAAAAGGACTAAGGTCAAATTCAGAGTCTCAATCTGAAGAAACCCATCAATAATCATTGCTATATTTCCATCTAAAGAGGCTTTTATTGATGCAACAGCATCATTAGCTTGTCCCTCTCCTTGACAGCAGGGTCATCTCTCCCAGATTAAACTGGGAGCTCTGAAGCCAATAGATGGAAGAATGAGCCATTAGTGTCTTCAAAAATTGCACTTTATCTAAGAGTAAGGGTGCAAAAAAACTCTGTTGATCCACAACAGATGGAGAGGAAAATTTATAAGATCCCCAGAGCGTGTTTCATTTCATTAAGACAGCTGATCAGATTCACGGTAATGAGATATTTGTAATAACACCCAGAAGACCACAAAACAAAAGCGACTTGTATCTGCATTACATTATTAAAATTTGTCGCTATTCATTCCCCAAAGTGAAGCTCTTCCACATGTAAATTGTAGTAAAAGCAGGCAGTTGGCTCTAATTTTGATGATAATATTACTATAATCTGTGACTGGGGGCGACAGCTAAATGGTATTTGTAGAACTCGAGGCAGAAAAAAACCGGTTTCCAGAAAATGGCTTTGGTCTTTCATGGCTGATGAACAGAGCTCAAACAATGCTCACGTGAAAAGGTAATGAGGGAGGGTTAAAAAAAAGACAAAAGGGTGCAAAACATAGGCTGTCAGGGAACAAAAGCATAATGTGGGTGATGGAAAAAATGGGATTTCTGTAAAGTTTACAGGTTGAGCTAGCACTGCTTTATACAAGAATTGCATAAATAAAGTTTTTTTTTTTTTTTTTTTAAATCTGAACACATTTAAAGATTAAATTAGCGACACCTTTACAGATACTGGGAAAATAATCATCAACACTAAAAACAGTAATAGAAGCCAATTTCCCTGGTTCACATGGATATTCAGAATTAATTTTCTCCCTCTGGTAGATTACAAGTGACGCAATAATTTTCCAATTTATTTTGCTGGTTTGGGTCAAATCTGGTGCAAATGCAATGTATTTAATGTTAATGACTAATTTTTTATTTATATATATTATATATATATATATATATACACACACACAGCAGGTACAATAAGTATTGAACAATCCAATCCAGAAATAAATGCATGTTTAATTAAGTGAAATAATTATTTTATCCGTTGTATACACAAGACAACAGTACATAAACTAAGAAGAATATTTATTATTCCTCTATTAAGTAAACAAAACAAAAAGAAAATTACTCACAAAAGTATTGATTTCCCTTAAACTTTTCCACATTTATTCATTTTACACTTCACCATTTATGATATTTAATTTGGATTTTATAGCAAAAGCAGATACACAAAGGGGATAATTGTAAAATGGGTGAGCTGAAAGGGTGGGGTGCATTTTCATTCATACCACAGTGTCCAAAATATATAAAAACATCTTCTGCTGCAGTTACACATAGATGCATTCTGGGGCATTGATCTGCCAGGTTTGAACTATAAACATTTTGACAATTGTTATTTACCAACTGCTCAAGCGTTGTCACATTCGATGATGAGCTTTGGATAACATTGATCCTCAAGTCTTTGAGCATGGTTACCTACTGGATTGTTACCTACTGCAGGATTCACATGAAAACCCTTTGATCAGAAGGTTGGTGAAGATTCCTAGTCATTTAGGTCATACAGGTGCTGGTCATAAAATTAGAATATCATGAAAAAGTAGATTGATTTCAGTAATTCCATTTAAAAAGTGAAACTTGTATATTATATTC